TGACAGGGACACTCAGATGTTCCAAGTGCAGGTCTCTAGGGACATCAGACATTCCCCCAGGAGCAGGGACGTGCAAGCTGTAGTCACTGGCCAGGCTCAGGAGGCAAACTGTCTTGGCCACAGCTCCAGGCGGCATGAACACGCTGTCCCTAGAGTCTTTTCCCTCGCATTGCACAGGAGCTTGGAGGACATCTGAGGGGTGGGGGAGAGGAGGAGCCCTTTCTTCTTTATGGCCCAGGGAACGTTGGAATCGGGAGCCTGGCTGCAAAGTTGGGGTAGGCCTATGCTGCTTGAAGCGTTGATCACAGTCGTGACCTTTGAGTATAAATCGATGACCTTAAACACAGCGTGCGTCCTAAACTGACCAAAGGATCTTTATGGCCCGAGCGCCACCAGGAAAGTGAAGCGTTTGTCTAAGTTCATCAGGACGGGGCGCAGAGCTCCCCTGCCTGCTTCCCTCCCACTCGCCCTACTCTCTGGTCTCGTCTGAGCCAGGGACAGTGGGCTGCTCACTGGCACTCTCCAACGTGGCAAGTGCATTTGCTCTCTGCAATGAGTTGAGGTCAAGAGGTGCACTTCAGACAGGGACAAGGCAAGCCCAGGGAAGAGCCGTAGGGCAACGCCAAGCTGAAGCCAGCAGGGACAAGGGCAGTGGTCTGGGCGCCGAGTGGAGGAGACAGATTGCTGGTCACCACCATGACCTTTGGCCTCGGTGCCTGGGTCTTGATTTGACTGTAAAAAGCAGTGAAGGCTTCCACAGAGCAGGATATGAAGTCCTATTCAATGGGGACTGAAAAGTCGGGGCACAATGTGTGCCTATCCGGTAAAGTGCCCTTGCCTCTTCTCCAGGGAATCCCTGCCCCCTGGTGGGGACAGAGCCTGGCAGCTATGCCCCGCCCCCTGCACCCCATCCCTCATCATGGGTGATGGGGTGGGGGCAGCTGAACCAACTGTATTTTCTCTCCATAGAATCTGGGATTAGGGGGGCCAGCACTGTGGCATGGTAGGTTAAGCCTCTGCCTGTGGTGCTGGCATCCCATATGAGCACTGGTTCAAGTCCTGACTGCTCCACTTCAGACCCAGCTTCCTGCTAATGGCCTGGGAAAAGCAGTGGAAGGTGGCCCAAGTGCTTGGGCCCTTGCACTTGCATGGCAGACCCAGAAGAAGCTCCTAGCCCCTGGCTTCAGATTGGCGCAGCTCCGGCTGCTGCAGTCATTTGGGGAGTGAACCAGTGGATGGAAGACCTCTCTCTTGGTCTCTCTCTCTCTCTCTGCCTCCCTCTCTCTCTTTCTCTCTCTCTCTCTGTCTGTAACTCTTCCTCTCAAACAAATAAATCTTAAAAAGAAAAAGAACCTGGGATTAGGTCAAGGATATGGGAAGCTCTGTCACACAGACATAGGGGTCATGAAAACTTGTTTATTTTTAAGATTTATTTATTTATTTGAAAGTTAGAGAGAGAGAGAGAGAGAGAGAGAGAGATGGATCTTCCATCTGCGGGTTCACATCCCAAATTCCTGCAACAGCCATGGCCAAAGCCAGAAGTCAGAAACTCCATCTGGGTCTCTCACGTGGGAGGCAGGGACTCACATACTTGGGCCGTCCTCTGCTGCCTCCCAGGTGCATTAGCAGGGAGCTGGATGAGAAGCAGAGCAGCTGGGACTCGAAAAATGGGAGGCGGCATTGCAAGCTGTGGCTTAAGTCGCTGTGCCACAAGCCAGCCCAGACAGTGAGACTTCAGAGCAGAAACGTAGACAGTGCACCAGGTTTGGAGACACACAGAACCCAGCTGAGGCTGCCTCATGGTTTAGCAGGTCCCGGCTCCCGGCCTACCTGAGGACAGACTTACTATTCGTCGTTGCAACTTTTGGCTTGCCTGCGATTATCAGCTGGGCAGGCTGAGATACTTGGACACACCCTGGCTTCCAGCATTTTGTCTTTGTGGCCCTGCCACAGGACCTTCTCAGTGTCTGCTAGTGTTGGAAGGTCAACTGATGAAGATGCAGAAAGCTATGCCAGAGAGGAGAAGACAAGGCTAAACAGAGAGTCGATCTCTCTTCCAGGGGCTTCTGCCCACGTGGGAGACCCGCACTGCAGGCAGCACTTTCACCCACCACGCCACAGCGCTGGCCCCACACATCACTTTCTTCCTGCCTCCGTTTCCCTGTGCCCTGCAGCTTTGTCAAGCTGGTGTTTCCGTGTTGAGGTGGCATTTCACATCTCTTTTCTCCCTGAAGTGTTTTGGAAGTCTGTTTCCGTTCTTCCGGTTGCTTTTTTCTCCTCTTCTTTGTCCTCTCTGCTCTGTGAGTTTATCTGTTTCCTGGTTCCGATTTGTCTCCTCACAAGCACAGCTTCAAGTCTGTCTTGTTTAAGGCTGCACTCTGAGTGCTTAGTATCAGGTGATCGATACGGGTTGCATGTTTGACAAGTAAATGAATAATCTCAGAGATAAATGATTTTATCCCAAAGAAAGGATGTTAATGGTGGAATTTCAGGCAATGTTGTAGAAAAAAAAAACTCTTGGGTGGTATTCTTTCTAATTTGTTCATAGTAGGCAATGCTAAATTCTTCCTTTCCCCACTTTGTACATAATTTTAAAAATATTTGGATGTTAACTCTAATTCACCTGCTCAGATTTCTTATTTTTTTTTTAAGATTTATTTATTAATTTGAAAGGCAAAGTTACAGAGAAGCAGAGAGAGCGAGAGGTCTTCCATCTGCTGGTTTACTCCCCAGATGGATGCAAGGGTCGGATATGCGCTGACCTGAAGCCAAGAGCCAGGGCCAGGAGCTTCTTCCGGGTCTCCCATCCAGGTGCAGGGGCCCAAGGACTTGGGCCATCTTCTACTGCCTTCCCAGGCCATAGCAGAGTTGGATCGGAAGTGAAGCAGCTGGGCCTGGAACCAGCGTCCACATGGGATGCCGGCAGTGCAGGTGGCAACTTCATCTGCTATGCCACAGAGCCAGCCCCCGGAGTTCCTGTTCTAATACAAATTTTTGGGCTACTGTTTAGGTTTCTGTTTAAGAGTTTTTTTTTTTTTTTTAAAGTTCATTGTTAGGTACTAAGGTCATTTTTTTCCCAAAGAGCTTTACTTTATTCTCAGGAATTAAGAGGAAATAAAAAAATTTGTCCTGTTTTTTGAATCAGCTTCTGTGGTCTTTGTTTTTTGAGAGGCAGAGAGACAAAGAGCTCCCATCCTCTTCTCTCCCCAAATGCCCATTAACAGCCAGGCTGTGGGTGGCAGGCACCCAAGGACTTGGGCCGGCACTGCTGCCTCCCAGAACCTGCACCAGCAGAAAGCTGGGATAGGGAGTGGAGCTGGGACTTGGACCGAGGTAGCGGATGTGAGTGTCCACACGGGGCCAAACACTTGCCCCCGGAATGTGCTTTTGATGCTCCTCAGCTAACAGGGGTGTCTGGAAGTCAGGCAGGGCTGGTTTTCCAGAGGTCAGAGCTGGGACTAGAAGCCCGGCACTTTGGCAAGGGAGGCAGGCATTGTCACTGCCGGGCCGGCTGCTGGCCCCCAGCCTCACTTGGTGTAGATGTCAACCACACATTCCTCTTCCCCTAGGCTTGATTTTCGTCAACCGCCTGTTTCTTTCCCCCTTCACTATTATGCAATTCCCAGAGTTGTTGGGGGAGGTGCTGGCTTAGAACTCCAAGGCAGCTGGAGAGAGTGAGGGCAGGTGGGGCTGGAGAGCTCAGATGAGTGTAATTATGGGCCATTGATACTGGCCGTTTGGTTTCCAAAGTCTGTTGTCACGTTTTTGTTTTAATACATTATTTCTCCTGCTTAGCACTATTCAGAAAAAAACCTTTTTTTGGATGCTTGTATTTATTTGAAAGGCAGTGTGGGGGAGGAGGGGAGAGAGAGGGAGGAGGGAGAGGCAGAGAGAGAGAAAGGGAGAGGGAGAATGAATCACATATCTGCTGGTTCACTCCCCCCAGATGCCCACAATGACCAGGGCTGGGCCGTGGGGTGACCAGGAGCCAGAAACCCCATCCAGGTCTCCCCCATGGGTGGCAGGGGCCCAAGCAGCTGGGCCACCCTCTGCTGCCTCCCAGGTGCACCCGCAGGGAGCTGGATTGGAAGCACAGGGGCTGGAAAACGCTGTCACTTTCTTGTCTTCCTTGTAATTTCCGGCTTAAGCTGAGCTTCCCGATTTGTATCTGCGGAATTTCTTTCTGCAGCTTGACTTCTTCCTGGCAGGTTTTTTTTTCGCGGCCTTTGCAGGCTTTTGCTCTCCTTGGCTCACATTTGCAGGGCTTTTCAAGGGGCCAAAGGGGTTGACTGCTCATGGTTTTTGGTGGCCCCCAGGTGTCCAGCACGTTGACTGTTACTGTATTGAGGAGGAACCCGTCCCCTGGAGACCCTCCTCCCAATTTTTAACATTTTTTAATTAAAAAAAAGTTTTTTTTTTTACCATTCTCTATGTCTTACAAATTTTTTTTACCATTCTCTATACTTACTCATTTTTGTATTTGTTTTTACCATTCTCTATACTTCTCTAATTTTTTTTTCTGATTACGAAGAGATGCAGGCTCACTAAGGATCTAAGCAGCCACGTCACCTATCTCACCTGGGTGACAACACCTGCAAGGCTGCGAAGCCTCGGGCGGCGTTTCCAACAACGCCATTCTCCGCGTTCACACGCAGCTCTACGGCCAGCGGGCGAGCGAAGCTGGGGGGTCCTGGGCTCCCCCAGACAAGCAGCGCACCCCACAAAGGCCCGGGAACCTGCGGGAAGAGAACCGGGCGGCCGGGGGGCGGAGTTAGCGCTGACTGCGGCTGGGAGGGCGGAGCCTCACCGCCGTCACCAATCAGGGCTCCGCTTTGTTTTCTCCGCCCGGCCAATGAGGGAGTTCCACCGGAGGGGCTGTCTGCGAATTTGAGACGCCTACCGTGGCCGCAGCCTATCAGCAGGCGCCTCTGACGCAGCGTCCGCGAGGCTCCCGCCCCCCGCGGGCGGCTGCGGCCACGCCCCCGCGGCCTCGGCACCGCCCCCCCGAGGGAGGGGGCCCAGGCGGTTCCTCCCCGGGCTGGAGGTGGGGGCCGCCGGGCTGCCGCCGGGCTCTAACGTCTGCGCCCGCCGCGGAGTCGCCGAGCCCGCGGGCTGCTGATTGTTCCCTTTGGCGGCGCCTCCGGAGCTGCGGGACCCGGGGACTCGCAGCGGCCGGAGCGAGCGCGCTCCTCCACAGACCACCGCCCGCCGGGAGCCAGGTACTTGGGGGGCGCGCGAAGCCGAGGCGCGGGGTCGGAGCGCGGGTTTGCAAGGTCGGCGGCGGCCGGGCCGAGCGGGGCGGCGGGGCCCCTCGCCCTCCGGGAGCCTCTCCCGGCGCCGGCACCTTGCGCGGCGGTGGGGGTGGGGTGGCGCGCGTGCAGGTGCGGGGCTCCGCGGGACGCGGGCGCGGGCTCCCGGCGGGTGGGAGAGCGGGGAGCGGGGAGCCGGAGAGCCGGGTAGCCGGGTGCGGTGTGTGTGTGCGCCTGTTTCTTCCCCGCCTCGGGTCGTGTTGAGGCGCCCTGCGGCGTGCGGGGTGCTCGCTGACGTCTTCCACTCGTGCGCTGCGGTTAGAAACTCAAAGCGGCCTTTCCCGCGAGCTGGCCCGGGGGCTTCCCCGGGTGTGGACCCCCGTGGCGTGGCTCGCCTGTGGGTGGGCGGGGCGTGGGCCCCGCCCCGGGGGACACCTGGCCCTCCCCGGGTGTGCCCGGGTACACCTGCGCCCAGGTACACCTGCCACCCGGGCGGCGATACTTTGCCCGTGGTGGAGTATCAGCGAGTTTGCCTCACGGAGGGAGAAGCCCCACGCGCAGGGTGTCTGCAGCGGTGGCCCCCGGGGAGAGACAGCGTGCCGTCCACGCGGGTTCACTTGGGTCCCGCGAACTGCGTGTCCCTGGAGGGCGTCTCCCGGGGACGCTCAGGGCTGTGCGCTCCTGGTGAGGCCCATTTCACAGCTGACAGCTCCGCAGGCCTCGGATTCCCGCCCTGTTTGACCCCTGAGCGCCTTTAATCCCAGGGCTGGGCCAGGGTTCCCACAGCCCAGCTGAGCTCCTACAGCCAGGTCTGATCACGTGGGTCCAGGTGATTTGCAAGTAAAGAAATCCTGGTTCTTAGGGCTTGTTCCCTTGTCTCTCCCCCCACCCCCGCCACCCCACCCGCAGTTTGCTAAGATGTTTGGAATTTCACCAGAAAGGTAATTTTCCACACAGGCAAAAAGAATCCAAACCAAACACAACTTAGTGTTCTTGTGTGCAAATCTGTGTTTTAAATTTTGGGAAGTTTACGTGGTCTGGCTTCTGAATTGACTTGAAATAGTATGGTAAACGCGGATGGAGCCTACTGCACTTTGACTTCTGGCTTTGGTGTGCGAAGTCTCGATGTTTGTAGAGGGCGGAAAGAATAATTTCCTAATTGGAATAACTCAAGGGTGTGTGGGGGTCAGGGTGGAGCTGGCGTCCACGCTGGGGTGATGTCAAGGTTTCGGAAGCTCCAGGGTACTGCTGGGTTATCCGCCCACTAATGTGATTAGTTATAGGAACAAGGGCGTGCCTTGTGGATGACTGGATGGGAACTCCACTGAGGGGGAAGCAGTCCCTAGTTTGCCCTCAACCCGTGCAGTCTGCTACGTGTTGCACGCACATTTTGGCATAACTCCCGCAGGCCTGTGGGTGTAGCTCTGCCTTGATTTCCCTGTCTTATTTATGCTTGGTCGCCTTTTCCTTAACGTTTTACTCTCCTGTCAAGTTAAAGCTGCCAGCGCCCAAGCACACATTTCCATTAAGAATCCTGCCGCCTCTGTTAAAGTTAACAGTTCTTCTCCTGGTGACTCCAGCCTGGTCATCCAGTTTCTGTTGGTGAAGTACTTGCCTGGATTCTTGCCTCACAGCCCCCAGATGCTCCGTGATTTTCAAGGATTCTGATTTGTTTCTTCTCCCTCTTTGCCCTCCCTCCCCCTCTGTCTCCATTAAAATTAATCAATCACAACATGACTTGGCTTCCACTAGAGGGTGCACTGGATGCTGCTAATTGGAGATTTCAGATAGTTTTTTTTTTCCCCTCTTTTTCAAGATTTTATTTATTTATTTGAAAGAGAGAGAGATTGAAGGAAGCTTCTCCTGCTGGTTCACTCCCCAAGTGGCTGCAACAGCCAGGACTGAGCCAGTCTGAAGCCAGGAGCTTTATCCAGGTCTCCCACATGGGTGCAAGGGCCCAAGCACCTGGGCCGTCTTCCACTGCTTTCCCAGGCCACAGCAGAGAGCTGGATTGGAAGTGGAGCAGCTGGAACCGGCGCCCATATGGGATTCACCCGCTACGCCACAGCACCGGCCCCCAAGATGATTCTTTTTCTTATAAACATTTCATGGTCAGAGATGCAGACATACTGCAACATATCTGTCATCACTGCACTCAGAATTGCCATGAGTACCTTTGTCCCTTCAGGGGATTTTCTGAAATGAGATGATGTGGAAGGAACAAGTAGCTTAACTTAAAGTAAAGGAAATTGTTAGTAATTTCAGAAAAAGCCCCTGCTAAAAAGCTCTTTAGTTCTCCCTGTGGGTTAGGAACCCAGATCAGAATGTAGATTTATTTGTCTTTATTATGCATTCTTATATATTTTTTAAATGGATTGTGTTTTATTTAAATCTACATTTTTAAGGATTTATTTATTTGAAAGAGTGATGGGGTGGGGGAAGACAGAGTGAGACAATTTTTTTTTAAAGGTTTATTTATTTACTTGAAAGTCAGTTACACAGAGAGAAGGAGAGCAGAGAGGCAGAGAGAGAGAGGTCTTCCATCCGCTGGTTTACTCCCCAATTGGCTGCAACAGCTGGAGCTGCGCTGATCCAAAGCCAGGAGCCAGGAGCTTCTTCCAGGTCTCCCATCCAGGTGCAGGGGCCCAAGGACTTGGGCCATCTTCTGCTGCTTTCCCAGGCCACAGCAGAGAGCTGGATTGGAAGTGGAGCAGCCAGGACTCAAACCAGCGCCCATATGAGATGCCGGCCCTGCAGGCAGCGGCTTTACCCACTACGCCACAGCGCCGACCCTGAGACAGATCTTCTGTCTGCTGGTTCCCTCCCCAAATGGCAACAACTGCGACTGGGCCAGGCTGAAGCCAGGAGTCAGGAACTCCATCCCATGTGAGTGGCAGGGACACAGCACTTCGGCCATTTTCTGCTGCATTCTCTGGTGTCTTACTAGGGAGCTGGATTGGAAGTGGAGCCGCTGGGCCTTGCACACTGGGCTCTGATATGGGATGTTTACTGGGTTACAACACCTGGCACTTGTAGGTTAAATCTTAGGTGCATTGGGACAGAGCTCTGGGGACACTTTGCTTTCTTAGATGACTGATTCAAGTGGCAAAGTGGGTGTATAGTGAGATTATTTGATACCTACTAGGAACGGATGCAGAAGTGAAAATTTACTTTTCTAGGCATGTAAAACTTTCTTGAACTTTCATTTGATAAATATATTTTTTTATTATAATATGTTTTTTGAGGATTTACTTATTTATTTGAAAAGCATGTTACAGAGAGAGAGAGGCACAAACGCAAGAGAAATCTTCTATCTATAGGTTCACTCCCCAGATGGACGTAATGACTGAGTTTGCCAGGCCAAAACCAGGAGCCTGGAACTCCATCTGGGTCTCCCATGTGAGTGGCAGGAGAATAAGCACTTGGGCCATCATCTGTTCTTTTCTCAGGCACATTAGCAGGGAGCTAGATTGGAAGCGCACCAGCCGGGACTCAAATCGGTGACCCTGGTACTCATATGGAATACTGGCATCGCAGGCGGTGGCTTAACCTGCTGTGCCACAGTGCTGTCCCCACTGTAATCATATTAATAAGCGGCTTGCTTAACTTAATAAAAGAGAAGGGAAGTGTTCGTCTCTCTGGCTGCTGATAGGAGCCCGTCAGGCCAGGCTGGTGACAGAATGAATAGGAAACAGCTGTTGCTTTGATAAAAAGCCATATACATCCATTTTCAGTACGGACACGGCAATGCTCAAGCCGCGGGAGGACCCTCGGGGATGGCTGCATTTTGTGAGGTGTTCCAAGAGCACACTGGATCAGAGCTGAAGCCAGGCGAGCTCTTTCGGTGGTTGGCGCGTGTTTATTTCCTTAGCCCTGACGCCAGGCTGGGGAGGAGAGTCCTGGTAATGTTTCTTAGAAGTGCGCCTGGTTCCAGGGTGCTGGCGACGTGCCAGGGGGAATTGGAAGCAGGCTGCGTCTGCCAATGAGGTGCTTCTTGGCCATGTGGCCAGGCCGTGGTGGGGCACGGAAAGGCTGGTGGTCGTGAATAGCTGGACGTGTGACAAAGCCACCCTCAAGCCAGCTTCTCTCTGAAGACTTCATGCTGGTCCAGAAGCATCTTAAGTCAGGTTTCTTTAATTTAGAGGTCTGTTCTATTTATTTGGAGGTCAGAGTTAGAGGGAGAGATGGAGAGAGTGAGTGAGTTATCTTCCATCCGCTGCATTACTCCAGCCAGGAACTCCATCTGGCTCTCCCACGTGGGTGGCTGGGCCATCTCCTGTTTTCCCAGGCGCATCAGCAGGGAGCCGGATCCCCTGAGGAGCAGCCTGGACTTGCAGGCAGTGGATGCCTGGGTTTATAACACGCCTGTGGTCCAGCCTGGGGCTGGGTACTCTTCAGTCTTCAGAGGTGCAGTTTCCTCTCTTGAAGAAAGTAGAATCCTGGCTGGCACCGTGGCTCACTTGGCTAATCCTCTGCCTGTGGCACTGGCACTCCAGGTTCTAGTCCCGGTTGGGGCACTGGTTCTGTCCCGGTTGCCCCTCCTCCAGGCCAGCTCTCTGCTGTGGCCCGGGAGTGTAGTGGAGGATGGCCCAAGTCCTTGGGCCCTGCACCCCATGGGAGACCAGGAGTAAGTACCTGGCTCCTGGCTTTGGACCGGCGCAGTGCCGGCCGTAGCTGCCACTTGGGGGATGAACCAACGGAAAAAGGAAGACCTTTCCCTCTGTCTCTCTCTCTCTTACTGTCTAACTCTGCCTGTCAAAAAAACAAAAAAAGTATAATCCTGAGCTCTATAAAACGAATGAGCAGTGTGCAGGTGAGTTGGACTTTCAAGCGTTCTCTGGTTTCCAGTATGTTCTCGAATTGCGGTTTGGGCTGGAGTGCACTTTGGTTTCTCAGCATCTTTGTCTTCCCCCACCCCTTTGAAAAAGCCCCTTTTAGGAATAGATCCACTGTAATCCACACAGGTCACT